GAGGGGAGCACTAAAGATGGCACTGAGAAAGAACCTGGGGAGGGGAGCAGTAAAGATGGCACTGAGAAAGAACCTGGGGAGGGGAGCAGTAAAGATGGCACTGAGAAAGAACCTGGGGAGGGGAGCAGTAAAGATGTCCCTGAGAAAGAACCTGGGGAGGGAAGCAGTAAAGATGGCACTGAGAAAGAACCTGGGGAGGGGAGCAGTAAAGATGGTCCCTGAGAAAGAACCTGGGGAGGGAAGCAGTAAAGATGGCACTGAGAAAGAACCTGGGGAGGGGAGCAGTACAGATGGCACTGAGAAAGAACCTGGGGAGGGGAACAGTAAAGATGGCACTGAGAAAGAACCTGGGAAGGGAGCAGTATGTGATTTTTGCCATTTTTTTTTTTGCAGGACATGTGACTCAAAAACTGCACCAAAAACACAACGCAAGTGCGTTTCTGATGCCTTTTCCATGGATTTAATTGGGGAGGTAGCAACAAGCAGGATTTTAAAAACTGCACTGGACTCGCAACAGAATCAGTGTGAAGTGTTTCCATAGGAATCATGGTTACGTTTTTCTTTTTTTTTTTTTATAACACTGAAGGGGAAGAAAACAGATCATTGTGAAAGCAGCCTTACAGCTCATGAGCTTTGTCTTCGCACAGGATTGTCAAGTGATCACAGGCTCAATGTTTCCAGTAGTCAGGGATTACCAGAAATAATATATGGGTCGTCGGCCATGATGGATCAGAATCTATTTCCTCCCACACAATGGCCACATGTCTACAATGCACTAGGTTCCTAATGACCCTGGAGAAGAATGCAGAGGACAGCGGCCATGACATGTCAGATGCCTAATCCTGCTGAAGCATGTCAATAAGACAAGTCCAATCATAGGGCATTTTGGTAAATAAGCATGTAAGTTCCTGTGGTATAAATCTGCATCCCTAAAGGGGTCCTCTTCCCCTCCCAGGGCTCCTTGGGCCCTTTTACCAACACATCCTGGAACAGAGACACTTACTTGAATCACCGTGTTGTTCTGTGGTGGAAACCTAACCTGAGTGATAGAGGAGAAAGGGGACACGTTACACATAAGACAAATTCCCAGGCTGCATTTATCTGTCTATAATGCAACCTGTCTCTCACCTCTGTCCTTTCCGTTGTGTATCTTCTCCTCTTCCTCGTCAGCTCCCTCCTCAGCTGAAGAGAAAAGCGATGACAGTCAGTGGCAGAGCACTGAGCACCGAACATAAGCTTGGGTGTCTCTGTTCCCTGACTAATGGCCATTTGGTGGTGTGTCCACCTTAGATAGTTGTTGGCTTCTGGGAATAGATAACCAACACCTAAAGCGTACATTACCAAATGCACCTAAACCCAATCAATTGATATGAATGCTGCCCTCTAGACTACCTCCATTATCACCAAATGTGCACATTACCAAATGCACCATAAACCCAATCCATTTATCTGAATGCTGCCCACCTAGACTATCTCCGGATGGTTATTAGCTTCTGGGAACTGATGACCATCACCTAAAGTGTACATTACCAAATGCACCATAAACCCAATCCATTGATCTGAATGCTGCCCCACTAGACTACTTCAAGATGGTTGTCGACTTCTGGGAACAGATGACCATCACCTAAAGTGTACATTACCAAATGCACCATAAACCCAATCCATTTATCTGAATGCTGCCTCACTAGACTACCTCCAGATGGTTGTTGGCTTCTGGGAACAGATGACCATCACCTAAAGTGCACATTATTAAATGCACCATAAACCCAATCCATTGATCTGAATGCTGCCCCACTAGACTACTTCAAGATGGTTGGTGACTTCTGGGAACTGATGACCATCACCTAAAGTGTACATTACCAAATGCACCATAAACCCAATACATTGATCTGAATGCTGCCCCACTAGACTACCTCCAGATGACTGTCGACTTCTGGGTTGATGACCATCACCTAAAGTGAACATTACCAAATGCACCATAAACCCAATCCATTTATCTGAACGCTGCCCCTCTAGACTACCTATGGTTGTTGGCTTCTGGGAACTGATGACCATCACCTAAAGTGTACATTACCAAATGCACCATAAACCCAATCCATTTATCTGAACGCTGCCCCTCTAGACTACCTCCAGATGACTGTCGACTTCTGGGAACTGATGACCATCACCTAAAGTGTACATTACCAAATGCACCATAAACCCAATCCATTTATCTGAACGCTGCCCCTCTAGACTACCTCCAGATGGTTGTTGGCTTCTGGGAACAGATGACCATCACCTAAAGTGTACATTACCAAATGCACCATAAACCCAATCCATTTATCTGAATGCTGCCTCACTAGACTACCTCCAGATGGTTGTTGGCTTCTGGGAACAGATGACCATCACCTAAAGTGCACATTATTAAATGCACCATAAACCCAATCCACTGATCTGAATGCTGCCCACTAGACTACTTCAAGATGGTTGGTGACTTCTGGGAACTGATGACCATCACCTAAAGTGTACATTACCAAATGCACCATAAACCCAATACATTGATCTGAATGCTGCCCCACTAGACTACCTCTCCAGATGACTGTCGACTTCTGGGAACTGATGACCATCACCTAAAGTGTACATTACCAAATGCACCATAAACCCAATCCATTGATCTGAACGCTGCCCCTCTAGACTACCTCCAGATGACTGTCGACTTCTGGGAACTGATGACCATCACCTAAAGTGTACATTACCAAATGCACCATAAACCCAATCCATTTATCTGAACGCTGCCCACTCTAGACTACCTCCAGATGGTTGTTGGCTTCTGGGAACTGATGACCATCACCTAAAGTGTACATTACCAAATGCACCATAAACCCAATACATTGATCTGAATGCTGCCCACTAGACTACCTCCAGATGGCTGTCGACTTCTGGGAACTGATGACCATCACCTAAAGTGTACATTACCAAATGCACCATAAAACCCAATCCATTTATCTGAACGCTGCCCCTCCTCCAGATGGTTGTTGGCTTCCGGGAACAGATGACCATCACCTAAAGTGTACATTATTAAATGCACCATAAACCCAATCCATTGATCTGAATGCTGCCCCACTAGACTACCTCCAGATGGTTGGCTTCTGGGAACAGATGACCATCACCTAAAGTGCACATTATCAAATGCACCATAAACCCAATCCATTTATCTGACTGCTGTCCCTACCGAGACCTACAATCTATGCTGCCAAAAGCTTCTCAGCAAACAGACAGGAAGTCACATGGGCTATCCTAAAGGAATGAATCTGATTGGCTGGCTGCTTAATCATGATCCTTTGATGAAGCTCATGTGACCTGTGGTGTTCTGGCACCGACAGCGTGCAAGAGCCTGGAGATACTGATAGGTAAATGGGTATTTGAGAATCTCAGCTTGGAGGACAGCCAGGGATTATGTGTTAGGTTAATAATATTGTTTCCCCCTTGCTTTATGGAGCCGGGGGAAGGTTTGTAAAAGCAAATCAAAAGAATCGAATTTTGTAAACAATTTTATTTTCTTCCTGAGGTCTCCTCTTCTAGGTGTAGCAGATAACGCTGACATCACTTATGACAGAATTTTCTAACTCAGTCTTTTTCAACCAGAGTGCCCAGATATCCTGGGGGGCCTTGCCGTTTCTTCAAGGGTGCCTTAGCAAAATGCCTAAAAATTGCCCAGAAACTGTATACAAGCCTGCCTTTTAGTTACACAAGGCCATAAGTCTTCATTGTGCGCCATTATAACCTTCTATCTGCCGACATCCTAACAACCAATGATGCCATCAGTTGATATGAAGGATGTCGGTCGCCTGTATGGCATCCTTGTTTGACCCTCCCCTGCCCCTCTCTGTCAGTAATGGGGTCATGTTAGCTGAGTGATAGAGAGAAACTGAGGAAGAAGAGAAACATGGGAATACTAGTCAGTATCAGTGTGCAAAAGTGTGTTTGATTTGGAATAAATCCCCTCTAATACTGGGTCTCCTACATGTGTAGATGTTGCTGCATTGGGTAAAACTATTAGAATAACTTTTTACTAGGGATGCACCGATACAGGTTTTTTTTTTTTTTTTAATCGGTGAGTACGAGTACCAATACTTTCGGTCAAGTACTCGCCGATGCCGCCGAGTACTGATACTTTGGGGTGCGATTTGTGTTAATGGAAGAAAATTGTACCGCAAAGAATAGCATGCGATTTGAACAGAAATGCAATCCCCCCTCCAGTCAGCATTCCTGTTTCATTCATAGAAGCTGTATTACAGCTTTTATGAATGGAGAAGCTGGGTGTGATAAGAGCCTGTGATAACTCCACGGCTGTATAAACCCCTGCCATACTGGAAGATTACACCCGGGGGGTGGGGGCTACAGGGATGGAGGAGGATTTCAACTAAAAGAAGAGGAATCAGCACAAGGAACCCATGCTCCTGAGTGCAAGTTATGTCCCTTTTGTTGATGATTCGGTTTTTTAAAGTGTTACTAAACCCAGGACCCTGCATTCACTATATCTGGTCTCCCCAGACCCTGCATTCACTATATCTGGTCTCCCCAGACCCTGCATTCACTATATCTGTTCTATCCGGACCCTGCATTCACTATATCCTTCTACCCGGACCCCGCATTAACTATATCTGCTCTACCCCTGACCCTGCATTAACTATATCCGCTCTCCCCTGACCCTGCATTCACTATATCTGCTCTCCCCGGACCCCGCATTCACTATATCTGCTCTCCCCGGACCCCGCATTCACTATATCTGCTCTCCCCGGACCCCGACCCCGAATTCACTATATCCGATATCCCCGGACCCCGCACTCACTATTTCCGGTCTCCCCGCACTCACTATTTCGGGTCTCCCCAGACCCCACATTCACTACTATATCCGCTCTCCCCGGACCCCGCATTCACTATATCCGCTCTCCTCGGACCCCGCATTCACTATATCCACTCTCCTCGGACCCCGCATTCACTATATCTGGTCTCCCCGCACCCTGCATTCACTATATCTGGTCTCCCCGGACCCTGCATTCACTATATCTGGTCTCCCCGGACCCTGCATTCACTATATCTGGTCTCCCCGCACCCTGCATTCACTATATCTGGTCTCCCCGCACCCTGCATTCACTATATCCGGTCTCCCCGGAGCCTGAATTCACTATATCCGTCTCCCCGGACCCTGCATTCACTATATCCACTCTCCCCGGACCCTGCATTCACTATATCAGGTCTCCGCAGACCCTGCATTCACTATATCAGGTCTCCGCAGACCCTGCATTCACTATATCCGGTCTCCCCAGACCCTGCATTCACTATACCCGGTCTCCCCGGACCCTGCATTCACTATACCCGGTCTCCCCGCAGACCCTGCATTCACTATATCCGGTCTCCCCGGACCCTGCATTCACTATATCCGGTCTCCCCGGACCCTGCATTCACTATATCCGGTCTCCCAGACCCTGCATTCACTATATCCGGTCTCCCTGGACCCTGCATTCACTATATCCGGTCTCCCAGACCCCGCATTAACTATATCCGGTCTCCTCAGACCCCGCATTCACTATATCCGTTCTCCCCGGACCCCGCATTCACTATATCTGCTCTACCCGGACCCCGCATTCACTATATCCGTTCTACCCGGACCTCCGCATTAAACTATATCTGCTCTACCCCGACCCCGCATTAACTATATCCGCTCTCCCCAGACCCTGCATTCACTATATCCGCTCTCCCCAGACCCTGCATTCACTATATCCGCTCTCCCCGGACCCTGCATTCACTATATCAGGTCTCCCCGGACCCTGCATTCACTATATCAGGTCTCCGCAGACCCTGCATTCACTATATCAGGTCTCCGCAGACCCTGCATTCACTATATCCGCTCTTCCCGGACCCCGCATTCACTATATCCGGTCTCCCTGGACCCTGCATTCACTATATCCGGTCTCCCCAGACCCCGTGTTCACTATATCCGGTCTCCTCAGACCCCGCGTTCACTATATCCGTTCTATCCGGACCCCGCATTAACTATATCCACTCTACCCTGACCCCGCATTCACTATATCCGCTCTCCCCGGACCCCGCATTCACTATATCTGCTCTCCCCGGACCCCGCATTCACTATATCTGCCCTCCCCGGACCCCGCATTCACTATATCCGATATCCCCGGACCCTGCATTCACTATATCCGGTCTCCCCGCACTCACTATTTCCGGTCTCCCCGACCCTGCATTCACTATATCCACTCTCCCCGGACCCTGCATTCACTATATCCACTCTCCCCGCACCCTGCATTCACTATATCCACTCTCTCCGCACCCTGCATTCACTATATCTGGTCTCCCCGCACCCTGCATTCACTATATCTGGTCTCCCCGGACCCTGCATTCACTATATCTGGTCTCCCCAGACCCTGCATTCATTATATCCGGTCTCCCCGAACCCTGCATTCACTATATCCGGTCTCCCCGTACCCTGCATTCACTATATCCGCTCTCCCCGGACCCTGCATTCACTATATCTGGTCTCCCCGGACCCTGCTGCTCCTCTGAAAAGCAATCCAAGTGTGTTTGACAGGTGGCGAGCAGGCGATATGTTGCCTCTTCAACGCCTGACTTAGGCTGGCCATACATTATACAATTATCTGGAGATTTTTGGTTTAGATTTACCAAAAACCATATAATAGGAGGACAAACCTAAACAACACTTTCAGTTGTATCCAATAAGGCAGGCCCTTGCACTACACAGTTAAAGGTAAATCTAAAGGAAATTGGGCAGAAAATTGGAAAATAATTGTATAATGTATGGCCAGCCTTAAACCCATAATTGCCGTGCAATGCATGTGATTTTGACACGGCAGTGTGGCAATTAGAGGTTTAAATCAGGTGTGCGGAGGAAACACTGTGCCCGGTAATCTTTGACTTCTCCCATGCTGTTAAGATAGATCTCTACCTCTTTAGGGTTGCCTACCCCTCCTTTAATGGACTTTAATGCACAAAAAACACAATATAATATGCAATTGTTTGGTAAAATATAAAAGATGATGTCATGCCGAGTAAATAGATACCAAACATGTCATGATTTAAAATTGTGTCCTTTATTGCTATTACAAGGGATGAACAATATCCTAGGTAGCATCAGTTGTGACAGGTCCTCTTTATGGACTCCAATGTAGCCGATCAGACACAGATCAGTCTGATTGGTGGTTTTCCTGGCCGGTAACAACCAGGTACACAAAGGACCGAAACAGGCCCTATATACCTAGAGCTGGATGCCGCTGGACATGTCCTTGCTGGGCTCTTTGATCGCATGGGACAGCCCAGTAAAGGCAGCGGTGGGAAGGGCCTAGGACCCCCTTCTGAAGCCTTTAAAAGTAATCCAGCGGCTCATTAGCCTCTCAGATGACATTTATTTTGTAGGAAATCGCCGGGGCTACAAGAGGATACCTTGATCATTGCTGCGGCGATGACCAAGATATCACCCTTCCCGTCCGAGGACATTTATAAACAAACTTCGGACCCGGAAGTAGCTACTTTTTAAAATTTAATTCCATATAAAACATTCCGCATGGAACAATAAAATCACACATACCAAAATGGCCGTGGCTCCGAGTCGCGGACACGGCAGCGCGACGTCAGCATGTAGGCTCTACCCAATGCTCTAGAATGGGCGTGCCCGAGGACGTGCGTGTGCACGAAACACGTTGGGTGGAGCCTACGTGCTGACGTCACACTGCCGTGTCCGCGACTCAAAGTGGTGGCCATTTTGGTATGTGTGATTTCGATTGTTCCACGTGGAATGTCTAATATGGAATGCTTTTATGATCATTAAACTATAAATCCTGGGGCTCCGTGTGGTGAGCATCTCTTCTCAGGGTTCTAACCGGTTTGGCAAAGTGGCTGGAGAGCGGATGACATAGACTTCACGGTGAGGAAATACATGCTACTGACCAAGTAGCTCTCAGGTGAGTGCGTAGTGGTGGAGGACCCTGCACTGGATAAAGAGCACTTGCTGGGATTGAACACGATTTGTCTTGATTGGCATCACGAGCATACATATTCATACTGGAAGGACTACATTGCATATTATTCTCTTGGTTGCACTTTGACACTTTTGGATACAATTTATCTCGTTTTACTTATTGATTTAGTACACTATTTACGCTGATAGATTTTTTATGTGCTGCACTGTTTTGTTATTCATGTTTGTCTTATTTGCACAATCAGAAACTTATAGGAAGGTAGGTACCTTGATGGCCGGTCACTTACCTGAGTGCAACTCCTTCACCAAGGAAGACATGGTGTTTGTAATGGAGTCTGCGGCTACCAGTAAGTCGCTGCGCAGATTTCTTCTGGTACCTGGAGTATAGGAGAAGAAGACATGGTGATTTCATGGGGTCTGTGGCTACCCTGGGCGTCCATGTTGGGGGCAAACCAATGTCCAATCAAAGCAAAAACACTGCCTGACTAATCAGTGAGGCTGGCTCTGGATTTTTATATAACAACAAATGGCCGCAGACCAATTGCAAAAAAAAAGAAATACACATTCTAAGGGTAAGATGGACAGTATGCTGACTGGTTGCACCGGCTTGCTACGTCGACAGGTTGCATCGGCTTGCTGCACCAGCTTGCACGTCGACTGGTTGCACCGGCTGGCTACGTCGACTGGTTGCACCGGCTGGCTACGTCGACTGGTTGCACAGGCTGGCTACGTCGACTGGTTGCACAGGCTGGCTACGTCGACTGGTTGCACCGGCTGGCTAATCAGTGAGGCTGGCTCTGGATGGTTATAACAACAAATGGCCGCAGACCAATTGCAAAAAAAAAGAAATACACATTCTAAGGGTAAGATGGACAGTATGCTGACTGGCTACGTCGACTGGTTGCACCGGCTGGCTACGTCGACTGGTTGCACCGGCTGGCTACGTCGACTGGTTGCACCGGCTGGCTACGTCGACTGGTTGCACCGGCTGGCCTACGTCGACTGGTTGCACCGGCTGGCTACGTCGACTGGTTGCACCGGCTGGCTACGTCGACTGGTTGCACCGGCTGGCTACGTCGACTGGTTGCACCGGCTGCCTACGTCGACTGGTTGCACCGGCTGCCTACGTCGACTGGTTGCACCGGCTGGCTACGTCGACTGGTTGCACCGGCTGCCTACGTCGACTGGTTGCACCGGCTGCCTACGTCGACTGGTTGCACCGGCTGCCTACGTCGACTGGTTGCACCGGCTGCCTACGTCGACTGGTTGCACCGGCTGCCTACGTCGACTGGTTGCACCGGCTGCCTACGTCGACTGGTTGCACCGGCTGCCTACGTCGACTGGTTGCACCGGCTGCCTACGTCGACTGGTTGCACCGGCTGCCTACGTCGACTGGTTGCACCGGCTGGCTACGTCGACTGGTTGCACCGGCTGGCTACGTCGACTGGTTGCACCGGCTGGCTACGTCGACTGGTTGCACCGGCTGGCTACGTCGACTGGTTGCACCGGCTGGCTACGTCGACTGGTTGCACCGGCTGGCTACGTCGACTGGTTGCACCGGCTGGCTACGTCGACTGGTTGCACCGGCTGCCTACGTCGACTGGTTGCACCGGCTGCCTACGTCGACTGGTTGCACCGGCTGCCTACGTCGACTGGTTGCACCGGCTGCCTACGTCGACTGGTTGCACCGGCTGCCTACGTCGACTGGTTGCACCGGCTGGCTACGGCGACTGGTTGCACCGGCTGGCTACGTCGACTAGTTGCACCGGCTGGCTACGTCGACTGGTTGCACTGGCTGGCTACGTTGACTGGTTGCACTGGCTGGCTACGTTGACTGGTTGCACTGGCTGGCAAACTGACAGCTGGCATGAACGACTAAAAGCGTGCTCTGGAGTGGACAGAGGAGGACGGAACTGTCATCCACATTGCACCGCTGGCCCCAGTGTTTGTGTTCGTCTTCCCCTGGCTCCTAGGCTGTGTGCAAAGCATCTTCCTATGGTACATCTGAGTGCATTTTTATGGTTTTTTATCTCATCTTAATAAAGTGTTTTATTGCGCTAGATTGTTCTTCTTACCTTTTTTTGTCCCATTTATGTTTTTCAAGTTCTATGCAATGCCTTGTGCATTGTATTTTTGAGATACCTGCATAGTCTACAAGAGAAGTCTTTTTCTTTTCTTATTTATTTATTTCAGGTACTTATATAGTGCTGTCAATTTATGCAGCGCTTTACATATATTGTACATTCACATCAGTCCCTAACCCTCAAGGGGTGTACAATCTAAGGTCCCCAACTCACATTCATACATACACATACTAGGGACAATTTAGACAGGAGCCAAATAACCTATCGGCATGTCTTTGGAGTGTGGGAGGAAACCCACGCAGGCACAGGGAGAACATGCAAACTCCAGGCAGGTGGTGCTGTGGTTGAGATTTGAACCAATGACCCTAGTACTGCCAGGTGGAAGTGTCAACCATGTAGCTAATGTGCTGCCCTTATCTATGGTTTGAAGTTTCTCATAACTGGAATGTAGCACAGAAGTGATTTGTCTTTTGATTTTCTTACATTGGGGAGTGTTCTGTATATCACATCATTGTGTTGAGTAGGGAGCCATCTATTGGGCATTCACTGCAATTGCACCCTTTTTTGTATTTGTATCAATAAAGAACAAGAAGTGTCTAATGTTTGTTAACCACTTGCCCTCCAGAGGATTCCCCCCCCCCCCCCTTCCTGACCAGGCCATTTTTGTGATACGACGCTGCATTAATTGAACTGACATTTGTACGGTCATGCAATGATGTACATAAATAAAAATGTATGTCATTTTTTTTTCCCCACAAATTTGATCACGTCTGCGTTTTTTAAAATTTTTTTTCGCTATAAACAAAAATAGACCAACAATTTTGAAAAAAAAAAAAAAATAATATTTTGTTTACTTTTTGCTATTATATCCAATAAAAAAAAACAAACAAAAAAAACTTTGTTGTAAATTCAGGCCAAAATGTATTCTGCTACGTCTTTGCTAAAAAAAAGTCCCAACAAGTATATATTAATTGGTTTACGTGAAAGTTATAACGTTTACAAATGGTGGTACAGTGGATATAAAAAGTGTTCACACCCCTGTTAAAATGTCATGTTGGAAAAGTGCACGGCGACCATGGGCACGGAGTGATGGCAGCATCTTTTCTTTCAATATAGAGCAGTATATCTGTGAATTCATGATACCATCAATGAAATGCAGCTCCCTGTCACCAACAGCACTTATGCATAGAAGGACACTGCACCACCATGTTTCACAGTAGGCACCATGCATTTTTCTTTGTACTCCTCACCTGTGCGACGCCAGACAGATTTGAAGCCATCATTTCCAAAAACATTTAAAGTGGACATAAAAAGTCTGCACACACACATCAGCAAACTTATAGCGGGACTGTGGCGGGCAATCTGAAACTGGGAGGGAACTAACTGCCACTGCTAATAAAAAGCACTGACACTGTAATCATGACACTGGGCTGGAAGGTGTTAACATCTGAGGCGATCAAAGGGTTAACTGTGTGT